CCGCTCTGTCCCCGCGCGCGCCGCGTCCACCCGCTGCCGGCCTTTTTTGGGTCCTTGGCGGGTATTTTCCGTCTGGTCTCACATCACTTCCCGTAAAGGAGAGCGAGGTGGGGGCGGGACCTCCTCTCCACCCTCCACCTCCCGCTTCCTCCTGTCACCTCGGGGAGCACACCCGCCCTCCTCGGGCGCCGTCCCCAGTCCCGCCGCACCTGCCGAGTGCTCCACTAGGGACCCTCGCGGAGGCCCCGCTTGCCTCATTTGGCCAGAGCCTGTTTGTCTCTGCTGCCCTTTCCTAGAAGGCGCAAAACCGTAGGGCGTTGTTTTCGCTTAGAGACGGAGGGGTGGCATTTACAAACTGCTCAGGGATCCATGCACTGCATGGTATGGTTTGATGTCTCTTGCCAAATCTCCTCCTCAAAAGCCATTTTCTAAAGGTGTTTTCCAGGGCATAAGGTCGGTGTCTCCACCTTGTAGCCAGAGATGCTGAGAGCTTTAAATTTGACCCCACCTGGGATTCCTGAGGCTCTGGGGAAGGAGGGTAGTTAGGGCTGAGGGAGGTTCTGCTCGCGGTGTTCGCTTTGGTCCGGGGACCGCACCCGTGCAGGGCGTCCGGCTCTGCCACCGGCCGTCCCGACCCGCCAGCTCCTCACTCAGGTGGCCTGGGCCTGGCCTTCACCGAATGCGGGAAAGCTCTGGGATTCTTGAAAATGACGGGGGGTGGGGGGAGGAGGTGGGGAGCGAGGCAGGGATAGTAAAATTCCGGCATGAAAAAATAAATACATTTCTAGAAGAAAATGACAAAGGGAGGAAGGGAAGGTCTCTGCTCGTAGAGTCTAGCTCAGATTATAAAGTCGCTCTAAATTAAATTTCCAAGAATTAGCGCAATTAGTTAAAAAAAAAAAGGCAAAAGGTAGTACGTTTAAGACTAGCCCCTGTAAGGAGAAATCTTCGAGCCTTTGCTGCCCTCCAGCGGCTTCTCTCAGCGCCAACGGTTTTGGGTGGGCCTGCTTGAACCTGTGGCCCTGAAGCAGAGGCAGCCAAATTCCTCCTCCAGTGGCCTAGGGGTCTGAACAGTGGCTTTTGGGCCTGCCACCATGGGCTCTCAGGCAAAGCACTTCTTTGAACCAAATAATTCCACTTCTTAAGCAAAACAAAATGACTGGAAGCCCTAGTCCAGCTTCTCTTACCATCTGTTCCATTCCACTGATTCTACCTCCACTTGCACCACAAATTCCAGCTCTCAGGTCAACCTGCCCTACTCCGTCATCCTTTCAGTCTGTAATTAATCAGAGTTTGCATTACAGTATAATTAGCTTCTCAGATTATTTACAAAATCACATACAGGGTCAACTATATGAAACTGCCAAATTTGACTAGACATTCAATCTGGTAGCTCCAGGCAACTATAGCACAGTTATCTCAGAGTTAGGGATAACAGATAACACCATCGGGTGATGGTTTCCAGGGATGTTCCCCAGGTAAGAGAAGGGCCATCAAACTGTTGTTGATGGAGATTAAGACAGGAAAAGTAGTCCCACATTTATGTGTAGAGGAAGTCTTGGGAGTCACCGATCAGCTAAGATTTGAGGGGGCCAACAATGCAGCAACTGCCAATGGCTCTCCCTTCAGCCTTCCCACTCCTGCAGCCAGGCATGGCTGTCACCAGTTTTCCAGGGAGGAGATCAGAAAACAGACAGCAGTGCTGTGGTCTATTCATCACCCACTCATTCATTTCATTCAGTGAGTCAAGCACTGTGATAAGTACTGGAGATGCAACAGTGAACAAGGTAAACTGGTTCCTACGTTCAGGGATCCTGCCCTCAGAGACACCAAGTTAACTCCAATGCAGTGAGATGAGATCCTTGATAAGGGAAGTTAGAGTGTAACTGGAAGACAGAGAAGAGACACCAAGTCAAGACTTCTACAGAAAGGGATGTATAAATTAAGGATAGATAAAGGGAAGAAGGTGAGAGAGAAGAGAATTCTAGGAAAAGAGAGCAAAGGAATGGCCTGGAGGTAAAAGAGAGAATGAGATATTGGAGCAACTGAAAGAAGTTCAGAAAAGCTGAAAAACTGAGTGTAAGGAAACAATCAAAGAAACTGGAGAAATAAGCAGAGGCTGGATTATGATGAACCCTGGAATGATTATAATAATAATAGCTAACATTTATTGACCATGTACTATGACTCAGTTAATATGCTAGAACTTTACATTTATCACCTCATCTACTTCTCACAATTTCCCTATGAAATAAGCACTATTCTGTCCCCATAATACGGATGAGGAAACTGAGTCTTAAGGTGACTAAGCAACCTGACCAAGATCATATGGCTAACAGGAGGCACAGCCAGGACTAGAACTTAGAACTCATTTTCTTAATGGCTATAAGGCTAAGGATGGGTTGGGGAGGCCACTTAGCATGTTGAAATCCAAGTGAGGGATAATAGTTAAGGCAGCAACCATGACCGTGAGGATGAAGACGAACGGACAGATGTGAGATATCTGGGGGAGTGTATCAGAAAGACATGGTTGCAGTGGGTGAGGGAGAGGAAGGAATCCATGGAGACACCCAGGTTTCTGGTTTGAGCAACTAGGAACCTCTGAGCAAAAAGAAGAAAGCAACAGGGAGGGAGAGTGAAGTAGGCCATAATGAACAAGTTTAGGACATCTGATCATAACTCACTGAATAAAATAGGAATCTGTGAATCATACTGACACATCCTGTCTGCAGCATTCCTACCAAAAATGTACAACCTCAATCTATCTAATCATGAGGAAGCCTTAAATAAACCCAGATTAAGGGACATTTTACAAAACAACAGACCAATATTCTTAAAATATGTCAAGGTCATGAAAGACAATGACTAAAGAACCAGAATAAATGAAACCAAAGAAACATCCCAACTAAACTCAAATGTGATCCTGAATTAGTTCCCAGACCAGAAAAAAAATTGGTATTGCTCTAAAAGACTTTAATGGGACTTGGTAGAATTTGGATGAAATCTGAGATTAGATAATAATATCCTATCAGTCTTCACTTCCTGATCTTGATTATTATATAGTAATAATAAATGAAAATACCCTTGTTTTTGAAATTGCACACTGAAATATTTACGGGTAAAAGGAAATCACGTGGACAACTTATTCTATGCCCAAAGGATTCAGAGAAACAACAGTGTGTGTATACACATACATATATATGAAAAGAGAAAGATTAAAGCAATTGTGGTTAAATGTTAACATTTGTAGGATCTGGATAACATGGATGTGGAAATTCTTTGTACTTTTTTACACTTGTTCTTTAAGTCTGAAACTATTTCAAAATAATAGTTAAAAAAAACTTTAAAAATTCTCTTCAGAAAATCCCATAGGATCAAATCTAGTGGGCCCCTCGAGAATTTATCATTGCTTTGGCTTTCCCCTTTAACTCCCTTACTCTCCCTACCCTGCCCTCCTGCCCTTGGGGTTAACATGGATCTGTGATGTGGCCTTAGAACCACTGATTGTGTTACCTGGGAAGGAAGGCTCTGATGGTACTCCTTTCACTGATGCACTGGTGAGGAGGCCACGGACATCTCTGAAAAGCTCAGCGGTGCTGTCCTGTATGAGCTCAGACTGACAGAAGACGCTGCTGCAACAGGGCTCTGGAGTAACAATGAGAAGTAAAAGAACCCCCAAACAGCAAGGAGCAGACGGCAGGCCATGTAACTACTATCATGGGCAGGCAGGCTGGAGTGCAGCCAGGGTGTCTTGACCCACAGGGATGTGTGGTGACGGCTAACAGGTCATGGTGTTCTCAAGGAAAAGACAGACTGGGTGTTTTTGTTTTGGGGAGAGAAGGGGAGTTTCTTGACTCAAATATGTATTTTTAAAAGGAAATCAAGACCTAGTGAGTAGAAGGCTGTCAGTCTCCACAAGAGGAATCATCGCCTTTCACCAGTTTCCTGCTGTAAGTCATTTCATAGACTCAGATCCAATTATTGAAGAAGCTCTATTTCCCTGAGGAAGGATTCCTCAATACCACAAGAATATACCATAAACTTTCCTCTGCTCCTACCAAAGACTCAAGGCCTTTAACTAGGATAAATGTGCGCTGGGGAAAGAGGAATTCAGACTTTGATGACTGCTGGATGCATGATCTTAGCTAAGACTGGTACAAGGAGGCTGTCAATGCTACCACAGTCCCTCAGTTTAGAGTGGGGTTCGTGGGGATAAGATAAATGTAGGTGTAGCCAAGATTTGTTTTACAGGACCCACTCTGTGTTCTTCTCTAAGCCCAGGTCCGCAGGCAGGATACACAAATAGTCAGTGGCTAGCAGAGACCTCACATTGACCTCACAGGAAGAGTCCTGCCTGAGCCGGCTCAGACTGCTATAGAAAAACACCATTATATGAGTGGTTTAAGTGACAGGTATTTCTCACAGTTCTGAAGGCTGAGGTGCCCATGATCAAGCTGCTGGCAGATTCACTGTGTGAGGAGAAAGCCTTCTTCCTGATTTGCAGACAGCCACCTTCTTGCTGTATCCTCACATGGGTGAGAGAGAGAGAGAGAGAGAGAGAGAGAGAGAGAGAGAGAGAGAGAGAGAAAGCATCTTTCTTGTACCTTTTCTTAAAAGGGCACTAATCCCACTGACAAGAGCTCCACCCTCATGACCTAACTATCTCCCAAATGTCCTACCTCCAAATACCCTCACACTGGGGAGTAGGGCTTCAGCATAGGAATGAGGGGAAGCATTCAGTCCATACCAAATCCTTATGGTAGAAAGTACCAACTGAAACCTCACTGGCTAAGACAGTAAATTAGAAGCAATTCATGCAAAGAATTGTGGACATTAATGCCACTTTCAAAGATTTGAAGGATACAGGAGTGAGGTATCTTTATACTGCCATTCAAGTCACCTTTCTGGGCTGTGAAAAAACTAAACAGAGAAAGTTCTAGAGGCAGATGGTGACGGAGGTTACACAATGTGACTACACTTAATGCCATTGAAATGTAAACTTAAAAATGGTTTAACAGTAAATTTTCTGTTACATATATTCTACACTGCTCCCCAACTGCTCCCCCTCACCCACCGCCAACACTCACATACTAGATGGATTATGGCAGAAAGCAACAGACTACCTCAACCACAGTTGCTATTCTAGATGCAGTACCTTTTTTTTTCTGACATTTTTATTGAGATATAATCTCACACAATCAAGTTCACCCTTTTAAAGTGTACAATCCAGTGTTTTTAAATATATTCACAAAGCTGTCACTGATCACCACTATCTAGTTTCAAAACATTTTCATCACCCAAAAAAGAGCCCCTATGTCCATTAGTAGTCTCTCCCTATCCCTTCTTCCCCTTAGTCCCTGGAAACCACTAATCTGCTTTGTCTCTCTGCATTTGCCTATTCTGGGCACATCATGATTAGAATCATACAGTACGTGGCCTCTTATACTCAGCTTCATTCATGTTGTCACCTTATTCGTGTTGTAGCATGCATCAGTATCTCATCCTTGTTATGGCTGAGTAATACTCCTTGTGAGGATATACTACAACCAGTTTATCCACTCACTGGCTGACACATTTGGGTTATCTTGGCTATTACAATAATGTTGCTATGAACATTCATGTACAAGATTTTGTGTGGACATGTTTTCACTACTCTGGAATATATGCCTTAAAGCAGAATTGCTGGGTCATATGGTAACACTATGTTTATCTTTTTGAGGAACTTCCAAACTTTCACAGCAGCTGCACTATTGTACCTTCTCACCAGCAGTGTATGAGGGTTTCAACTTCATATCCTTGTCAACACTTATTATTTCCCCTCTTTTTGATTGTAGTCATCCTAGCGTATGTGAAGTAGTTATCTCCTGAGGCTTTAATTTGAACAGCTGTAATACCTTTACTGGAAAAAAAAAAATCAACTTATCCTCTGGCACTTGCTAAGTGACTACCAAACTGACAATTGCATCCTTCTCAAAAGGAAGATCAAGAGCAGTTCAAGTAGGATTACCATTCCTTGAATAACAAGATAATGTAGTCTTACCCATGGTCATGTGACCTGACCATGCATCCTATAGGAAGAGTCTGTTCCTGCCCTCACCTTTGGGCAGAGACCATATGATATGCTCTAAATCAACAGCATGAGACATTTGCCACAAGTGAGCAGAAGCTTACAATTCCATGTTTCCTCTCAGCCTCAATCTCTCTCAGTCCTAAACTGTGTCATATCCCAGAGGGGCTGCTCTTTGAGCCTGGGTCCCACAATGACAAGACACACAGTACAGAACCCTAGTTTCCTGGTAGCTAGGCAAAGCCAAGCCTGTCCAGAGCAGATACTTCGTACGTGAATTAAATTTATATACATACATATTTTTAATGTGCATAGAAGAAAAATGGGCTCAAAAGTTCATATTAAACTGTTAAAGGTGCTGATTAAATCAATGTGTGCTAAACAATGGTAATTTTCACTTTGTTCTTTTCTGAATTGTTTGGGTTTTTTAATAAGCATGTACTACTTCGTAATTTTTCCTTCACTTTTTTTTTCTTTAAAGTTACCTATGTTGGTCTCCACTCAACATAGATAGCTTAGATTAAGTTATAATGAAATTACTTTTCAAAAAAATAACAAAATGAGTTGATTTAAAGGATTTTACATATATGTATTATATTTATACTTTTCATTGAAAATATAAATCAAAGTAATATGTTTTCAGCAATTTTCCAGAAAACCTTTTACCTATGTGAATAGCTTCATAGTAAGTCAACTCCTCCCTGACCACTATTATTAGTGGGTTAAGCCAATAAAGCTGTGTCACTTTCACCACTCTATGTGACACCATCTACCTTCTCTGAAATGTCAGTTTGATATGAGCCACCCGAATTCTCAATTTACTCCCCCATTCTGCCTGGGAAGAGAAGGGCTAGAATTGAAAGACTGCTGAACTACATTAAACCAGGCTAACTGCAGGCTGAATGAGGGGTGTTCTGCCTGAGGTAGTTAACTTGGTTCACTTCATCTATACACACTATTGTGTATATAGTGTGGTATATAATATATATTGTGTGTATATAGTGTGGTATATATATAAATGCCACTCCCAGCTATTTTATAAATACAGTCTATACTGCCAATGTATAGGCTGCATTCCCAGAAAAATAAGCCTCCACTAGAAAATAAAATATCCCTTAAGACACTCCTTTTTGCTTAAAAGGAAATTACTGATCTGTCCTGGTGAGAAGACATAAAATGGCAAAAGCACAGTAAACACTGACAGTGCTAGTTTTAAAAAGCATTTAAAATCATTATGTATTATTTATTAATATTTAAAACTATTTGACAAGTTTTTACTAGCTTATAGTCAAAGCATAATTTCAATGGAACTTTAAGCAATTACAGATCAACTCCATGTAGTATTAATTTTTCTTCTCTTCTGAGTCTTGTGCCAATTTCAATTTTTCTTTTAATTCCTTCTGATCTCTGGAATACTGTTCAAACATGGGTTGATAAATATATAATCCTCCAGCGATTCCAAGGATGCTAGCAAAAAGCAGTTGTGGAAAAGTCAATCTCCCAAACATTTTTTTCAACAAACACCGCACCGTGCAAGGGTGGTTTTGAAAAAACACTCCACGCTCAGGAAATCTCTTCAGATCTGTATAGATATAAAATGGGAAGCAAAGCAATAACTCAGCACAATATCCTTTTTAAAGACTTCAAGTCACTACATTGCTCCTGCATGAACAGTACTTTTGTTGTAATATGTAAGTATTGCTTATTGACATAACTAAAACAGGAATATAAATTCACAGGGAATATGAGAAATGATGGTTAAAAATGATTTAAGACAAATCTAAATGATAGTGTTTTCAGTCGTGTTAAATGCATAGTTTTTTAAATGGCAAAACTGTGAGAGAGGGAAGAAACATACTCTTTATGCCTTTAAAGGCATACCAAAGCTATAAACAGAAACAGCCCCTCAAAAAAGTTGAAAGTTGCCAATCCAATCTGGAAGTAGAACAAAGAGAACTGTTACTTTTCATTAATAGCCCTTCTTTACTATTTCATGTTTTATGGCAATATGTAGGATTAAAAACAACAATTTCTAAAAACAAGCTGAAAGATTTTTTAGTTCCCTTTGACGCTATAGTAGGTACATATTGACCTCACCCCGAAGTCATGTGCCACCACTTTGGACAAAAATATAACGGAGACTTGGCTGGTTTTACTTTTAAGAACTGAGTAGGTAAGATTCTAGCAGCACTTCTCGGAAAACTATACTTCTTGCTATAGTCTATAGTCTCTAAGAAGTCCTATAGTTTCAGGAGACACTAGGTAGATGTTTATGAATGAGGAAAGCAGAGTGAAGAAACTACATGGGTTTTTAAAAAAATTTTATTATAACAGTATCTCAAAGCCTCCTAAACCAGCCTCCAAGGTCACAAAAAATCAATAGTGGCAGAACTGGTACTAAAAACTTGCTTGCCCTTAATATATTGTCAAAATTGTAATTTAAACTAATCTGGGAAAGAAAAAGCCTGTTTTCTCCTGGACTCTACAGTTAACAAGTGACAACTTGACCAAGAACGCTTTGCTTCAACAACTGCTAAGTGTGAAAAAAGGAGACATCAGTAAGTCAGCTCCTTGGAAAACAGATAATTAAGCCATGTAAATGGGACGGTTCCCCTTTGCCACTAGCTCGTAAAAGTGACCCTGCCCGGTCCTTTAACCTTTGGGGGGCCTCATTTTCCACATCTGTACCACAGGCTAAATTATCCCTACCCTGCCTACGTCGTTCGACTGTTATGTGAGATCACCCAAACGGTACGCTGTTATACCAACACTTACATTTATAATTATCGTTACTATTACCATTACCACTCAGACACCTCCGACCGTTCTGTCCCGATCAGCGCCGCCTCCAGCCTGCCCCCCGCAGAGGTGAGCCCCGGCTCCTTCCAGCAGTTTCCAGACCCTTGGAAGCATAGACCATGAACCCAAAGGAGGGCAAGAATTCTCTGAGAAGGAAATGTGGAAGGGAAAGCGCGGGAGCGTAGAGGTGTGGCCCGAACCAGCAGCGGCGGCCGCGGACACCTTCAGCGGCGGGAGTGACGAAGTTGTCCTTTCCCGGCTACCCCCGCGCCTGTGAGCGACGGCTGCTCGCAGAGGCCATACTTAGTGGGCGGAAGAGGATCGCGCGCTTCCTCAGCTACTTTCTGCCGGGGACCGTGGCTGCTGGCGGTCCGCAGCGGCCCTGGAAGCAGATGCAGGATGGAGCGAGAAGGCGGCGGCGGCAGCCTCTTTTTCCGCGGTCTCCAGAACCGTTCCCAGGAGAAGATGAAGCTGCGAAAGAGAAAGTCGACCTTGTACCTCGGTCCCCAGAAGAGCCCTGGGCGCCGCAGAGGTGAGGGAGGGGGTGTGGACGCCGAGTGGAGTGGCGGTGGCGGGAAGTCGCCAACTCCGAGCGAGGGCTCCGTCTGCTGGTTAGGGTTGCCAAAGAATCGCCTTGCCCTCGAGACGGGATTCTCGATCCCTGCCTCTTGCACAGCACTGTAGTCTGCGTTATTTTATGCCGTCCTCCCGGCAGCCGTGTGGAGTAGGCATGGTGTGTCCATCCCTATTTCGGGGAGGGGGGCACCCAGGCCTAGTGTTACTCAAGGTAACAGTGGATCAGAGTTAGGTTGTAAACTCAAGTCCTCAGGAGGCCAGACAGGGAACACTAAATGTAAATAAGTCAAACACACCCTATATTTCAGTACCAGGCACTTCTACGCAGTTGAGCGTTGTGTTGCCAGATCTTAAAAAGGTTTGCTATGTTGCAATACAAATGTTAATATAAAATACGATTTTTGAACGTTGGCAACTAAATTCATATTTTTAAGAAATGCTCTATTCAGCCTACAAGCTGTCCGTTTGTGATTAAGAGCAGGGCTTTGGAGTCAGCATACAGACCAGGTTTTGAATCCTGTTTAAAGTCATCTGTAACCTTTTTGACCTGGGACAAAGCAGTTTAACTTCTTTTAATAAGTTAAAATAAGCCTCAGTTTCCTTATGTGTAAAATAGGGTTAATACCCCATAGTATCATTTTGAGGATTAAATGAGATAATGCATGTAAAAGAATAAACTTGGTGCCTAGCATATAGTAAGCTATTTAAAAATGTACAGAAGACCATTTTATATGGCAGTACATGCACATATACAAAGTGTTGCTTCCTAAGTTAGTCATTTGTTAGCTGATTTCTTTCATTAGATACACATATAGGATAACCTAGTTAGCCTAAGGCCTTATTGGGAGTTAACTCAATCTCTTTTAAAATATTTATCTTAATATTCTCTTTATGTAATAATTCGCAAGAAAGACTAGTTAACTGAAGAGTGGTAATCACCCAGTGGTGAGGCTCTGCCCTTGTCTAACTTTCCGCCCAGGTCTGCTTTGAGAGTAGCATGGAGAGGCCGGAGTTCACCAGTGAGCCTGAACAGAGCCTGAGCAAGCGACCAACCAGAGCAGCAGATTTTAGTTCTCTAAGTGGAACTTAACCTGACTTCTGTGCCACAAGTACCTGTTTTTTTGTTTTTGTTTTTTCAGATCTTCTTGGTGAAAACACTTATCTGGTCTTGTTTACCATAGCATTAAGAATATGTAACTGCTTTTTAGTCCAGACAAGTTTTGTTCCAGATGAATACTGGCAGTCTCTTGAAGTTGCTCATCACATGGTTTTCAAATATCCTTTGTAGTTTCTTTTCTAAACTAGAAATGTGTATTCATCTTAGGAATTGTATCAGCTTCTATGACGTATTTTCAATTTCCCGTATTTTCTCCAAATAATTTTAACTTATCAAAGTATGTCATGATTTCATGCTAATATTTCTTCTGTATCTTTCTTGGACATTAATGTGCTTAACTCAACATTTAGTATCTATTCCCACAGTGCTCAGTAATATTGAGGAAGTAAAAACCACATTCCTGCTTTGAAGAAGTTGGCCAAATGCATTTTTATTTCAAATATCTCTTATGCTATATTTTAGTTTCTTTGCCAAAAAATAGAAGTTTTATATATGGAAATGAAAATAGGGTTTGTTTCCATGCTGTTTAACATTTGTCCTTAATATTAACTACTTATGGTTATTTGACCTGGGAATGGACAGAAAGATTGAGGGGTTACATATACCCCTTAATCTTTGCAAGCATTTACAAGATTCTGCATCTTTTGGGGAAAGATAGTGTTCAGTTACTGGTAAGTTTAAATAAAAGTAATTGAAATAGTTGTTAAAAGTAGATTTATTCCATCCTTTTTTTAAGGTTAATGTGTTAACTAAATGATATATAACACTGAGCATGAAAGTGTTCTGCTGTGAACAGTCCTATTAAGATATACAGATTTTTAGAATATCTACATTATATATTAATTATTTGTACTTTCCAAGAATACTTCTGTCATAAAAGAATCACTTAAGAGCAGTGTTGTATCTTGTTTTTTTTAACTTGTGAGCAGAAGACCATGTTATATGAGCTTATGAAGACTAAATATATATATAAACCCACTCAGGATTTAGTGTGGAAATTAAAACTTAGAAAAATTAATTTGACAAAAATTTAATGATATATACAGTAATTAGACATTGATAGTGAGCAGAGTTGTAATCCCTAGATCATGAATTTCTGGGGTCAGTTGCCGAGAGAGGGTATAAAAGAAGTAATGGGCAAAAGTTTCTCTAACCTCACTCTCAGGATTTTTTAAGCTATCATCGAGTTGCACTCAGAAGTTTGGGCCTTCCACATTCTCTGTTAGGGAAGTGGCCCAGATGTCCAAAGGCAGTCCAAATCCTGAGGGGTTTTTTGAAGCCTGTAAAGACACTCAGATTCAGTACTTTTTTTTTTTTTTAAGTATTTTAAGGCTGGATTGTACCCTCCACTTTGCAATGAAATTTGATTCCCCATTATTGAGAAACAAGGGTCAGATCAGTGAAACAGGCTGATTTGGGAATATCACAGGGAAGGAAAATTTAAAGTAGTAGCAGAGTTTCTCCCATTGACACACTGTAGAAGCTAGGAGCTGTGAATTCTCTTTTCTTCTCTCAGGACTACCGACTAGCTTCTAGATCATGCAGGATATTTGTAAAAACTGGAAGCACAGGCAAATCTATATAATACCCCAGAAAGTAGGTTATTTTACGAATGGAGCCTTCAAGATAGAAAAACGTCCTATTCCTCCAAGATCTATTCCCTGACCTCAACCTGTAGCTGACCCACCTGGCCATTTTGTGATCTAAAGGAAACCTCCTCTTGTCCCCAACCTACCCCACCCCTCTACCCACCCAAAGTCCTCTATCCTACCTGGAACGTGAGCAGGTAGAGAAACATTAGGATGCTATCAGTCAGTCATACTCTCACACTGATTATTTTAAATAGAAATTATATAATTTTAAACCTAGAAGGGGTCATAAAAGTGAAGCCAGTAGCCAAAGTCAAAGCATGTTTAAAGCTAAAACCAGATCTAGGTCTACTTATTCACAGCCTAGTTCTCTTTCCAGATAGCTTCTCTCTAACCTGCCTAAGGTGTGTGCATAGTATTAGAGATGGCTTAGAGCTCCGCTGTCCAGTATGGTAGCCACTGGCCCCATGTGGTTACAGAATACCTGAAATGCTGGTACCAACTGAGAAGTGCTATTAGTGTAACATATATAACAGATGTCAAAGAGCAATACAAAATAAAGAATGTAAAATATTTTAGTTTTTATATTGATTAAATGTTGAAGTGATAATATTATAGATATAATGAGTTAAACAAAAGCACTAAGATTAATTATACCTGTGGGTTTTTTTTTTACTTTTTAATTACTATAAATTTAAAATTAAATATGTAGCTCACATTGTATTTCTACTGGACAGCGCTGGCTTAGGACATGTGAGAAGAAAGAGGGATAAGAAGGGAGACCTATGGGGGTACCACAGTGGGGGCTTTGAACAGTCAGAAGACGGCACAAGGGCATTTGGCTCCTGGAGCTTAAGGGAGGAATCGGGATCTTAAAGAACAGGCGTATAGAATGGTAAAGCTGCCAACACAGGCCTCATCTTCAAGGTTTACCCTGGCATGTTCCTTCTTCTCTTTACCCCACCACACTAGTCATTATTTTCCAGGAGCCACATGCAGCTGTTTAGTTCTTGTCAGGTCCTTACTATAACTAGAAAATTACGGTATCTTAAAAGTATGGAGAGACCGCTAATAACTGGGAATTTAGAACTCCACTTTTTTTGCATTGAGCTAAAAATCTACTTTCTTTTAAAATTCAAGATTTCTACATAACAACTCTTCAAAAAGTTTCATTTATCCAGGATAAACATCTCCAGTTCTAAACCTCATGATCAGATAATATCCTCTAAACATCTTGTAATTTATATGTCCATCTTAAAATATGGGTCTCAAAACTGAACACAATATTGAGAGCTAGGATAACTAGCCCAGGATATAGGGACCTTTAACTTCATAAATACTATACTTCTGTCCATGCACAAGGATTCTTTTAGTCTTTTAGTGGCTACCTCACACTCTTAGCTCTTATTAAGTTTATAGCTAAGTTAACTTTTCACATGAAGTACTTTCATGCCTGGGAGGTGAGGAGGAAGCTTATAGATTCTTATGCAGGGTAAACAGAACGTGTGTACCTCAGTGCCTTTTATTGTATTTTATAGGGCACACTTTAAGTGGAATTATGAAGTACAATGTGCATTTAGCTCTAAGATTTAAACGTTTATTTAAAATTATTCATAAAGAAAAAGGACATAAAGCTAAAGTGTCAGAAGCCACTGACAACTGAAAGTAAAGCAGCTCTAATTATAATGTAAAATTAGTGAAGTTTGATTCAACAAAAATAGATTCACATATAAATTTTTAGAAATACATTTTTTGAACAAACTTTTAAAAATTAAATTGTGTTCTGCCAGCAAGTGCTACTTTGTTAATGGTAACTTTGACACATTTTACAACTCAAAGATGCTAATGTCTAGCATTAGAATTACTAACTGTAATTAAGTTATAATACGTTTACTCTTTAATTTCTTTTAATTTGACTTTTAAATTTACTCTTTAATGTCATCTGAATACCATGTTTCTATAATTGTAGGTAACTTATGCTTAAAAAAGTAACTCACATTACTTTAGTAT